GGATTAAAGCGCATTTGCGAATTTAAAAAGAAAGCTCCCCACCCCACGGACTAAAAAGTAAAGCGAGCGGGGGAGGGGCCCCTCCCACGTGCATAAATTTAAAAGCGAGACTGGGGGGGGGAGCGGAAGTAAAAGTGACAAAATCTGTTGAGAAAGACTTACCACGGCGTGCATGAGCATTTGAGCGCATATTCAGAGACTTTATAAATCTTTGCAAAAGTAAACAATTCATAAAAATGGTGGGGAAGAGGACAGAGAAAGAGAAACTTCCAAAAGCGAAAGTAGTTGAGAGTCCACGACCGGAAGGAACCACTGAGCTGGCCAAAACGTTGGCAGAATCCCTGCGTCCCCTACTGGATCAGATGAATAATCTCAAGGAACAGCTGTCAACAATGAACCAAAAGCAATTGAATGAGATTCTTAAAATTACAGAACAAACAGCTGAGAAGGTGAAAGAAGTTGACACCACTGCTCAAAAGGTGAAGAAAAAGGTACAAAAATTGGAAAAGAAGCAAGTTTCTACAGAAGAACAGCCTTTACAATTACAAATGGAGAAGTCAAACTTGGTCCTTAGTTTCCAAGGTGTCCCAGAGACTAAGGGTGAGAATCTGAAGCAAATCATGAATGAAGCATTGGCCCCAGTGACAGATTTGAAGGCGGAATTTTTGATAAGTAAGATGGATGTGGTCTATAGGTCATATTCCGAATATATAAAGAAAAATAATCTGCCTGGGGAAATAGTAATGAGATTCTCGAAGAGGCATGTGAGGGACTCTATCCTGAGAGCAACAGCGGGATCACCTTTGAAAACCTAAGAAAACAAACCTTCGTAAAGTCTGTGACTTCAGGGAAAGGTTGAAATAATGAATGCCCGGATCTGAATTAAATGTTTGCAGTCTGTGCCCATTACCACAGAAGTCTTATGTTTCCTCATGACAACTGGAAACCACCAAGTGTTGGAATAATTCTGATACAGTTGAAGAGATTCTGAGTTTGCTGTAACTACTTAGGGAAAATATATTGTGGGTCAAAGCAGTGAGCTTCCTAAAGCCAGGAAGCTCGTTAAGTCAGCAACTTGGCATAGCAGGGCACCGAAGAACAATGTACCACTGCCAAGTATATACAGTATGTTGAATTTTAGGCGCTTTCACACATGCTAAATATTGCCATTTCAATCCACTTCGGCAACTCTTTGCAAGTGGATTGTGCCACTTCACACGGTAAAAATCCCTCTGCAAAGTGCATTGAAAGTGACTTATTTAGTGCATGCAAAATCGCCTTTAGAGTGCTGCTTTTTGTAAACAGAAAAAGTACAAAGAGTACCTATGGAAAGGCTAACTTTTCTTCCAGAGAAAGGCAAAAAAAACATTTGGGGGATTGGGGCTTTTAAAGATTTAAGGGGTGAGGGAGTTAGGATGTTTAAAGTCCGGCGTAAAGGGAGAAAATAGAAAGACAAGCCCTCGACACGTCAATGCCGGCTACCTGAACAAACCGGACAGGCAGACTTAGGAACATATTTCTGCCGCGTGTAATTGAGCAGAGGCTAAGGGGTCACTTTCCTGAACATGACTGAAGCTGTGCATACTGCCTTTTGGAAGCTTTTAAAGAGTGCTGCCATTTACACAGAGACTGAGGGACACATGCTTGGCCAGGAGAGTCCCAAAACCCATCCCAGCCACCACACAGGAATTTCAGTGCTGAAGTGTTCATAAGAACATAAGAGAAGCCAATGTTGGATCAGGCCAGTGGCCCATCCAGTCCAACACTCCATCACACATTGGCCAAAAATACCAGGTGCCATCAGGAGGTCCGGCAGTGGGGCCAGGACACGAGAAGCCCTCCCACTGTTGCCCCCCTCTGTTTACCCTATACCCTGGTAACACAACAGATTGTCATAACGTTACAGCACTACAGTGATCTAGCCATTGCCCTCCCTTTTAAGAAGAAGAAGAGGAGATTGGATTTATACCCTGCCCTTCATTGCCCAAAGGTGTCTCAGAGGGGCTTACAAACTCCTTTCCCTTCCCCTCCCCACAACAGACACCCTGGGAGGTAGGTGGGGCTGAGAGAGCGCTTGACAGAAACGGCTCTTTTTCAAGAACAGCTCTTGTCAGAACTGCGGCTTTCCCAAGGTCATCCAGCCAGGTGCAAGTGGAAGAGTGGGGGAATCAAACCCGGTTCTCCCAGATTAGAGTCCGCGCACTTAGCCACTACACGAAACTGGCTCTCAGACTGAGAGTCCCCATCTATCACAGCATAACGGAACAATCCCCGCCTTAATCCAGCACCAAGAGATGCACTCCCAAGTTACACAGAACGAAGGAAAGTTAATGGCCATGTTCTCCTAACTGGAATTTGGCCTTCATAAAGCGCATTTCAGTTCTTCGAGACTCTGCACTCCCACACCCCTACCCCACACAGTCGCAGATGCCAGAATAATAGCCAGTGGATGTGCCGGCAAGCACAAAGCCTGTAAACAATGGCCCTGGGGAGCCAGAGAGAGGGAGGGAAAACTACTTGGGGAGAAAAGGATTATGAGGAGGGAAGGATTACGGAGAGTCACAACAACTGCTGTCTATGGAAAGCTGATCAAATTTTAACACCAATAATCAATGAATTTAATAATAGTAAGACATATATAGTACTCAGAACAAATTTTCCATAACAACAGGTAGAAATTCGCTGGTAAAGTTGATCACAGGTAGAAATTCACAATTTGTAACAAATTCAAAAAAGTCCTTGATCTGTAAGGATGTAGTAGTGTCTCTGCCCGCTGACTTGACAGATCCGTTTCAATATTTTCCCCCAAGAATCATGCTGGATTCAACGTTCCAAAGGTACAAGTAGACATCCATAAAGCACATTCAAATACAGCAATTGTTTGTGGGAAAACTCCACCTGTGAATTTCTACCCGTGGTCACGTTTACCAGTGAATTTCTACCTGTTATGGAAAATTTGTTCTGAGTACTTTATATCTATATATCTAATTCCAACAGGGGGCAGGTTGTGTGGATACTTATTTCCACCAACAGCTTTTCCTACATAGTCAGTATACTTCCTGTGTCTGCAGAAAAATCCAAGAAGTAAAAAAATCCCTTCAGGGAGGGTTGAATTCCCCCCAATACCTTTTGAAATGGCCTCTGCAGGGATCTAACTCCAGGCATCAACAGTGAGAGATTAGAACGTGGGGGGGGGGAGGCTTCTAAGTGGCTCTATCAGTAAAAGGGTGGGGGAAGGACCCTTTCCTGGCCTCTTTTGGCCTTGG